GGAAGTGTCTGGAGAGAGGGAAGTCTGGGCATCTTTGCTCAGACTGCTGCCCCCGCGCCCCGGTTCCGGATAAGCCGAGGAAAATGGATGGATAAATTTTAAAAGTGATGATACTGTACGTCATTGTTGTGTTCAAACTGTTTCTGCTTTCCTCGGGTGGCCAAACTATTCAATTGTTGGTTTAGGTAATAGGGTTAGTCAGCTTTCTGCAGTAATCTCATTTTTTAAATGTTATGTACATGAGAAGCTTGGCTTTGATAGTCACAGTGCACCTAGCTATCACAGTAGAGAGATCTGATACACTTGGATTTCCTCAGAAAGACAGATCCTTGGCCATGTACTATATACATGTAACCAGGTCTTAAATTGGCTTTTTACACGAATTTATGTGGAACCTACTCTGACAGCAGTGCTGGGGAATGAAATGAACTAGAATTACCCCCCTTGCGGTTGTAACCAGTGACCTTGATCTGTGATCTTTGTCTACCAAGATCTAATCAATTCATCCTTGAATCTGAGTGGACATGTGTGCCAAATTTGAAGAAATTCCCTCAAGTTGTTCCAGAGATATCTTGCTCACAAGAATGATACAGATGTGAGGTGACAGCAACCTTGACTTTTGTCCACTAAACTGTAATCAGTTTATCCTTGAGGCCAAGTGACACGTGTCAAATTTGAAGAAATTCCCTCAAGCTGTTCTTGATATATAGGGCTCATGAGAGTGGGACAGACAAACAAATGGACAGACAACCCTAAAAACCATGTCACAGAGAAAATTACTGCAATGCCAAGAATCATTTATTGAACAATGTTATTGAAAAATGATTGAGGAAGGAAAACAGGATCACCTTTTTAGTTTTTAGTCTTTGTCACTCTGCAGAGGAAGTCAGGTAGTCTGGAATACATCTTCTCCCCAGGGTCTCCATGCAAAAAGCTCCTGATCAACCCCCCTGCTCCTTTTTATTCCTGTCTCTCTCTTCCTGGCATTCTTCCCTCATTACCTCAGCTCTTAACTGTCTTCTCCTTTTTTGGGAAAGTCCTGACCATCCAACTTCCCTTCGAGCAGCACAGAGAAAGAACAAAAGTCGCTGACTTTTCCTTGTTACACAAGCATTTTCCCCTACTAACACTAGAAGTCTTATAT